CCATTTCAACAGACAGAAAGAGCAGAAAGTACATCTATGCGTACATCTAAGCGAGTCGCCCAACGGGAAAGACAAGGGTAGCTTCACGGACTTTCCCTTGGACAGGTAATTTCCCTTGGCTTTCCCAACTCTGCTGCACCCTCTCAAAAATCCTACTCATGCCTAGGAGCTACCAATTTATCGTGCCATCTGTCTTTAATGCGTTCTCGCAAGTGATAGAAACTGTCAAAGCTCTGTCTGGTTCACTTTTTCCAGCGGCTGCATATTCTTCGAGTTTGGACAAGACCTAACAAAGTGTTACAGAGAATGAGAGGCACTCAGCTATAAACAGTTTCTTTGATTTTTGTAGCGTTGTGGAAAGTTATGAAGAAGGCAAATAGAGCCCGTGAGAGAAAAAATCAACAACCATTTTGGCACCATGACGATGTCTTCAAAGACACACACATAGAGTAAGTGCCATAGAAGAAAGGCATGATGACAGAGACACTGAGGAAGGAACAATCAATATAAAAACTTGGCAAATCAATACAAGTAAAACGATTCGATTATCACATTTCAAAAATAGAGCATACTGTATAGGATTGAGGAATGCACGTATAAGGAATTATAGACAGTGCAAGGCCGTGAATCGCCTAAGGCGGCTGAAAGACAGCTTGGCCTGTGCACTTGTGAATCGGAGCCGAAAATGAGGTTAACGATACATAACAATACAAGAAAATTAGATTTTCTTCATATATATTACATATATGGAAATGGTTATTTAGCCTGTCCACTAGACTCCCGAGCTAAAGCTTGAGCTTTAGCGTGTCTCTTTCGGAAAAATGGAATAGTGAACAGCATAAGGCCAGATATCTGAAATAGGAATGGATTATGAGCTATGTAGCACAACCACGGCCATAAAAACCATCTATGGCATACTTTATCTGAATCTGATATTGACCATTTCAAAACAAGGTCAATCGTAACCTCAATCATGATCTTAACCCCCTACCTAGTGGATTCACAAGACTTTTATACTTGCGAACTACTTGAATCTGCCACCCCACTGCACAATCTGACCTCAACCCCAACACTCCGAATCCCTACAAATTCTCTTCTGAGGATTGTTAACAAACAGTGAATCCTGCCCCCCCCCCCTCCCCACCTTATCTAATCTATTCTTATCTTATCTATTCTGTTTATCTAAATAGTACTCAATTTCAAGAAGCGCTGAGCGTTGTTACGGACTGTCTCAAAGCACATAATTGACGTCAACTAAATGAATCAAGTAGGTAAAGCAAATCCAGGAACGAATTTGCAGGCAAGGACCGCCT